TATTTAGCCCTATGCCCGAAGCTGGAGTTCACCTGGCAAGGCGATAATGGCACCGGTTCGTGGATCTCGCTCTGCCGACAGAATCTAGCAGCTAACGAGAAAAGAAGTGAGGTAATATGTTCGTGATACCTTCATATGGGTGATTTCGGTTAAGTTTGTACACAATTTCGTTTTGCATCCGTTGTTTCTATGCCAAAAAAAAAACCACTGCTTGACCATATTTATCTAGGAATATTCAGTTCCAAATGTGGTTGATCTCTACACCTTTTTGTGTGCCTTTCTTCTATGCAGTGGGCATTGCAAAATTTGATGCACTGATACTATTTTATTTGAAACTAAACCCTTCATTGTTTTTATGTGATCCATGCAGTAATAGTTTGGTTTCTTTAGTTCAATAAACCTCTCTGTATCATGAAGGGGTATACTTGTTTCAGTCATATTGCCACTTCACTTTTCTGAATTGTATCATGAAGGGGTTCAACGTAGGTGCCTCTTAAGTGTTTCGTGGACACCAGATACTTCTGCATATCCAGCTAAAATCATTATTGACAGCTGTACAGTTTGTTTCTCTGGATTGATTGCAAAGATGTCACTCAATTTCCTCTCGATTGTTTCCTTTTACATATTGGAAGTTTCTTGGTTCAGAGTACAATATGATTGTAGTGCTCTGGATCTATCAGTGGTATGACTGTGTGTTCTAGTAAGATATGGAGGTTGTTGCTTTGTAGGATAGGAAAGTAGAGGAATTTTTCCTATGGCTGACTTTGCATGCGATTTCAGAGGAAATTGCCATACCTTTGTTTCTGTGACCACTATACCATGCACCTAATCTTTTAAGAAACTCCTGTGTTTTTTCATGTGCTGCAACAGAACACCTTCTATTACAGATCCATTCATGTGTTTCTGAATTCTCTAAAATTCACTATGGCATGACATCCGGATCCTATATTTTTGTAGTTCTGAATTTTTAGAATTATATGCGAACCAAAGAGCCCTCTAACGGGGAACAATTATTTTGCCTCTATCCAAACTCTTTTTTCTACCAGTGCTGCCCAAACTGAGTTAGTATGCAGTCTGGTTCTAAGTTCAATAAGATTATAGTGCTGGCTAGCAGACTATCGGGATCTATCAGTGGCACAATTGTGTGCTAGACTCTTCACCGAGGAAGCGAGAATGGTTTTCTTTCTTTGCTTAGTCCGTTGTAGATTCTGTTTTCTAAGATGTTAATTTGTTGATAATTTTGACTGTCTATATGCAATGTTGAATGTTTGAACTTTGGGTTCTTGGCTTCCACTTTTGAGACAATCTGGCTTATGCAAGAATGATAAAATTTTGAGTTCTTGGCTTTCACTTTTGAGACAATCCGTTTTACCTGTATGAAAATTTTATATTTGAATGCTAACTGCTGTATTTTGAATTAGAGACAGTTGCAAATGGTTTCTTGACATGGTTGGCTGACCCAACAAAGATGGAATTAACAATCAGCCCCTTTGTAAGGCACTGTACATGAATCTGCACAGATAAATTCTTTTATGCACTTACTTCATGTTCATGAACTTTGATCATACAGGATGTCGTGCGAAGAGAATTGTGGGGTTAATCTTTTTCTGAATTTAATATAGCGAGTGAATCAGATTGAAACAGCAACTTGCCTTTCCCATGAAACAGGCAGTTAAAGATGCTAATGTCATTGATGCAGCCTTCTGAGGCAAGTCACGGTTACATGTCTGATTTTGTTTTTCTGAGGTAGGATATTGGCCTAAAAGTATACTATTTGAAGGTAACGATGTGCCTCATTATGTTTCAGTAATTTGATGCAAATGGCAAGTACTAAAAAAATTTGATGTAAATAGGGAAAGTTTCTTCGCTGGTGACAAAAAGTATTGAGATTAGCTTAATTTAAATTGATAAATTTTGTTAGCTTAACTTCTGATTCTCAGTCCTCTTCTTCCCCTTCAGTTTTATTCTATTATCAACATTGTTACTCTGTGTGTCATTATCTCCGTTCCTCTTTCAGGTGAATGCACTTACATAGGAGCGTATTAAAAGGAAATGCGCGCACCATTCTCAGTTGTTGCTGACATACTTGTATTATAAGAAAAGTTGTGAGATTTATCATTTAAGCCTTTTGGTTCAAAGGAATTTACAGGATTTTTGGAATATTCCTGTTGAGGTTATTTGGTTTCTAGGATTGGCAACTATATGATTTTTTCCCCTTTGCATGCAATTCTAGAGTAATATTTTCAAATCCGTGTGTTTATGCTTTTTTATGCTACACCTTGTTTTATGTCACAATTAGACCATGCGCCAAATTCTGAAGGAAAATTCTTGGTGTTTTCCCATGATGCAGATTCACCTGTTTTCAATTCCTCTAGAATTCACTGTGCCGCCCTCACCTATTTGCCTCGCCGTCGAGAATCGCTGCCGACACTCGCCTTCGTCAATCGCAACAAAACATTGACCGAAGCAACACCAGTGGCGACAGTGCCGTGGCTCCCAACCAACAATGGTGGTAGCATTTTGGGCACGGCAAAATGCCCCGCCAGTAGTAGCAGAAACGCCTCCCCGGTCCCAGCAAAAACTTGCCCCCATCAGTGATATGCAACCCCAACCCTGATCAAAGATGCAACAACCTCAAAGATGCTTGCATTGAATTTATGCTCTCTTCAAATAGAATGAAAGATGTGATCTCAAGCCAAGGTTATCTACACCTCAAAAGATCTTCTCCTGATGTCATCGTGGATGTGTTGGAGAGAGCAGCTAAGTCCTGCAAGATTTAGTGCGCCAACATGGCATGAGCTACTGCTAATCCTTCAGTCCTGATCTTCGCCTTAAATGTTGGATTGAAGAAAACAACCAAGTCTTGCTATATTTAACATGCTCATCCTGGGTTAGCTTCCATCAATCCATCTAGCTACTTTTTGATACATAGCCACCTGAGATGAGGTGCCATCTCTTTCAGTTTCAGAGATCTTTTGGAGGAAGCGAGTTGGTTTTGTAAAATGTATGTCTACAGTGTATTGGTTGCCCCATCTGATATAAGTATATGTGAATTTGCGGTACCTCACTAGTTGCCTCTATTATTTGCTCACTTTAATATCTGGCTTATGTGAAGAATGATAAAACTTTGAGTTTCTTGGCTATCACTGTTGAGATAATCTGTTTTACCTATATGAAGAACTTCAATTTTGAATGCCAGCTGTTAGATTTCCAGTTAGAGACATTTACAAATGGTTTCTTGACATGAACCTTGGTTGCACAGCAGTTCGTCTTTGATTTAGAGAATTTCAGTAGAAAATGAAGTTGAAGTCTTGAACCAAACTACTGTGAGATCAGGAGCAGGCAATTGTAGATTTAATTTTTCAGTTAGTAGTACTTCTATTGTACAAGCATATGTTCAGTGAAGCCTCTGCGTATGTTAGCTACAAAAGCACAATCCTGTAAGAAATAGGCACTACTTAAGCCTCTTCACTTTTATTTGTACATAATTCAGGGAGGGGTTAGCCGTACAAAAACTGAGAGAGGGATTGGGAGGAATCTGGAGGGAATGGTTGAGGGAGTGACACACTTGAGTGACAGCCTGAACAATGACTTGAAAACCCATTTCTAATCTGATTTTGATATGTCGTGTTCTTTAATCATTTTGAAAGGGTGGTGCAGGGAAAAAGGAATAATGAGCTGAATTTCGGAATTTGATTCAAGGAAAAGGTTGCCTAAAATATGTATGAGGAGACCACCACCTATGTTGGTGCAGGCTAGCAAGCTCTATACACATAGTATATCTGAAGCTTTTCAAGGTGAATATGAAAGATCCCTGGCAGCTTGCACCAAGGCATTGGATGGTTGTAATGAATATCTAGCAGGAGATTTTACCTTTGAGGAGGAGCATGAAGTTATCCGTGATCCTTTGAAGCAAACAGTTGCATGCAGCTGCTGACAATTTGATAGAATGAGGATATTGTGTGGTCATGCTCTTAAAGTTCTTGATTTGATGAATATCAAGTCTCTACCTCCACACTATGCGTTAAAGCGATGGACATGAGAAACAAGAAGTGGGACCGTAAAAGACAACGAGGGTTAATTTACAATTGTAGACATTGTAATTTTTAAAATAACCTTTATTTCTTTATTTAATTAACAGGGACCAATCACAGACGACATTATTATTAATAGATTCTGGTGAAATACTACTCTTTGGGCAATCATGTAATCTAACTTGTGCACCAGTTCAGTTCAATTATGGGCACTAGTTGCCATTCAGTTATGTTTAGGTTCAGTTCTGGGAAACTATTGCATTCGCTTCAGTAAAATTTCAGTTCTGGGCAACATTTGGCATCCAGTTTAGTCCAGAAGTTTGCAGATGCTCAAATTCCATTTGGTTCTGTTCAATTCTACACAAGCAGCTTACTAAGTACTAGAACACTGATTGGATTGCTCAATCTCTTTTTGCCAAACTAAATTCAGTTATCAAGCCTGAAGATGTACAAGTAGCAAATGGAATGCTTAATCTCTTTTGCCAAACTGAATTCAGTTATCATGTCTGAAAATGTACAAGTAGCAAAAGTGGAAATGCTACAGCGACATGGGCTAATTCAGTCATCAAGTCTGAAAGCTAAATTCAGTTATCAGCTAATCGGCCTGCAGCGGCGCGACAACGATATGGAGACCGCTCCTATGGCGACGGCGAGGCCGCGCCATGAGCTCGTTCGGCGACGGGGAGGTGAGACCTTTTTTTTCTTCTTCTTTTATGTGGTGATTGTGGGCTGCTTATGGGCCGAGGCGTCGCTGGTTCTCGTTGCCAGTGGATGCTTCCGCCGTCGGATGGCTTACGAACGGGTACGCACATCCTTTGTCCAAACCCTCGTCTCGAACTTCCCTCAATCCCGGCGCTCACTTTCTTCCGTCGCGCCGCCGCTCCCCAGTCTCCCCTCTGAGGCAACCCGGCGCCGCCGGCCTTAATCCAGAGTTCCAACCCGGCGCATCCCCCCCCCAATCCCACAATGGCAGCATCGCAGTGCTCAATATCGAGGATGCCGTCGAGGTGCACAGCAGAGACGCAGACGATGCGGGCCACGGTCGCGTTTGAGATCGCCGGTTGCAGCCTTCTCAAGGGCATCGGTAGAGGCAAATTCCTCCGTTCTCCGGCATTCTCCGTCGGCGGCTACGAATGGTGCATCCGCTACTACCCCGACGGATACAAAAGCGAGGCAGGCGAAGGTTACGTCTCCCTCTTTCTCGAGTTCTTGACCAAGAACGCTGAGGTGAGAGCCACTTTTAACTTCATGATTGTGGAGCCGGTTGAGGGGAAGTCGATTGTTGTGTGCTCCTTCACAGAGCCACTAGTGTTCGACCCTAAAAGGCTATCTTTGGGCATAACAAAGTTCATGAAGACCACCACTGAAGTAGAGTGGATGTACCTGAGAAACGATTGTCTCGTGATCGAGTGTGAAGTCAGTGTTATCAAGGAACCACTCGAGGCCCATGTTCCGCCGTCCCATTTTTTGGATAATCTTGCAAAATTACTAGATGGGAAGAAAGGAGCAGACGTGACTTTCAAGGTGCAGGGGGAGGTTTTTTCTGCTCATAAGGTTTTGCTTGCGACGCAATCAGCGGTCTTCGACGCCGAGTTCTACGGGCCGATGGGGGACAAAGGGGCGCAGGACATAACTATTGATGACATGCAGCCTGCTGTTTTCAAGTCATTTCTTCACTTCATCTACACGGATTCAATGCCTTCCATGGACGATCTCGAGGATGATGACAAAAGAGAAATGGTTAAGCACTTACTTGTGGCTGCAGATAAGTATGCCATGGAAAGGATGAAGCTGATATGTGAAGGCATGCTATGCAAGAGTCTTGATGTTGAGAATGTGGCAACCATCTTAGCTCTAGCTGACCAGCACAATTGCAGCAATCTCAAAGATGCTTGCATCGAATTTATGTTCTCTTCGAATAGAATGAATGATGTGATTGCAAGCCAAGGGTATGTACAACTCAAAAGATCTTCGCCTGATATCATTGTGGATGTGTTGGAGAGAGCAGCCATGTCCCCCAAAATTTAGTCCCGCAAGTATGAGCTACTGCCTATCCTTCCGTTCCGATTGATCTTTGGAGAGCAGCTAAGTCCTGCAAAAAGGCAACTAAGCCTGGATAAACTTGTAGTGCCCATCCTGGGTTAGCTTCTATCTAGTTACTTTTGATGCATAGCAACCTTAGATGAGGTTGCCATGTCTTTATGTTTCCAGGGATCTTTTGGAGGAAGCGAGTTGGTTTTGTAAAATGTGCTTCTCCAATATATTGGTTGATCTGTATGATATAAGTATATGTATGAATCTATGGTAGCTCACTAGTTGCCTTTTTTTTTATCTGCTTTTAATTTCTGCCTTGTGTGAGAATGATAAAACTTCTTAGCTATCATTTTTTAGATAATCCGTTTTACCTGTATGTAAACTTACATTTGAATGCCAACTCTTAGATTTTAATTAAGACAGTTACAAATGGTTCCTTCACATGGTTGTCTGACCATACAAAGATGGAATGAACAATCAGATTTGCGTTCACTTTGAAAGGCACTGTACATGAACTTATATGCAATTGTTTCCAGTTCATGAATTTCGCTGATGGAGGGTGTTATGGGGTGATAAATTTTGAGTGAATCTTTTTTTGAATTGAAAATATTTGAGTGAATACATTGGAACAGCAACACAGGTTTCGTACAAAAAAAGTTGTTGCGGCAATGAACCGTCAGGGTACAAGAGAAGGTACTGATTCTGTATTCAGATTAGCTTCCAGCTACATAATCTGCTAGGATAGATTATACAGTAGTGATCCTTGATTCTTA